AGTTGACGAACAAAACTCTCTTCTTGCTTGAGCGTCGCCTCCCGATCCTTCAGTTGTCCCTGAAGTTCACGCATCTCCTCGAGGTACTCATCATACACTCCTTTAGCTGTCAATCTCCAGTACTCGGCCTCCTTCGACTTCTCGTCCATCGTGCACCGTTCTTCTTGTTTTGCTTCTTTGACCTGGGCTAACTCCAAGATCGCATCTTGACGATGACCACCCTCGATAGCAATCATCTGGTCCTTCTTCGACACGTCGGATTCATACTGTTTGACGATCTCTTCCTTCTCGCGAAGCAAGCATTCTGCTCTTTTTGATTCTTGCTCTGCGAATGTCGTAACGTCGTTCAGTCTCGTCATCAGCTGCTCCCTGGAGTCCTCCATCGAGTACATCTCGGGGCGTTTGACGAGCGCATGTTTCAACTGTGATTTCAGACTTCGAACCATCTCCTCTTCGTTGAACTTCTCGATAGATACCTCTGATCTGTTGCTGATAAGCTGATATCTGTTGTGAAGCCTCACGGTGTATCTGATTTGCATGTATTGCTGATTCCTGTGCGGCCGACTTCTCGCTTGCCATATAGGATCTCATCACTGCAATCTCCCGTCTCTGCTCCATAATAGTTCCCTCAGCTTGTCTCATCTGTTGCATCATAACGTTCGACTCCACGTCCTTCTTCTCCCCGTATTGATATGCGTTCATTTCCACCTTGCGCATCTGTTGGGCTTCCTCCTCAAACTTGCGCCAGGCCTCCGCCATATGGTGTTGGTGATGACTCACAAGATGTCCCGATTGCTTGCTGGCAATCTCACATCGTCTCTCCAGCTCTTGGATCCGGATGGTGCTCCCATAGTCTTCTTGATGAAGATTCGCCATTGCTGCCGACATTTCATCAAGTGTCTCCCCGATCTCCATCTCCATCTTATTCTTTTCTTTAATCGCGGCGCGAAACTCGGCACTCGTGGGCGATGTGGATCTCCCACCTTTCGATGTCGACCTCACGCCCTTCTGCGACGTCCGCGGAGTCGCAGGCGAAGATGATGATCTTCTCGGTGGAGACTCTCTTTGCTTCGACTCCTGATGAATAGCGATCTGTTTCCATGACCTTGTAGGTGTGGACATGTCGCTGAATAGTGCGGATCCTCCGCTCCCAGGTTCGTCCTGTGAATCTGCAACCAAATCCATCACCGCAGGAAGAGCCATCAAGCCATCTGATCCCTCTGAGCTGTCGTTCCCAAAAGTCGCAGTACTTGGGCTCGCTGAAGATGCCATTGTACCGTGTAGGTTATTGTCCCTCTATAGTTCCTGTACCCGCAATAGACCAGCTGTCTCTCCGTCCAGTGTAGAGCTTGTCGTTACGGCTGATAACCTGTCAAGAGACGGCAAGGTGACGTCCCGTGGGACGCTGTTCACCGAACCCTCCAGCTTTGTACCCAACCACGTAGAAAGGTGTATACGGTCAAACCGTTATAGCCGAACCCGTGTAAACTGTTGTAAGGGATAAGAACCAATAACCACGATGGTGATCCTGGCAGCGGCAGCGCGAATGAAGTATTTTCCACTCTCTGTGGTCAATCACGCACAAACGTATTTCATGCAAGACCTTGAGCCCTACTTGTGACTTGAGCCAAATGGCAGTCAATGGAACATTGTAAGCAACACCAACACAGACCTCAGAACAGCTTCCCAATTTAGGCACGGGGCAGGGAGGGTTTTAAAACTTTCTGTGTGTGTCTCTCTCTGTGTGTCTCTCTGTGTGTCTCTCTGTGTGTCTCTCTGTGTGTCTCTCTGTGTGTCTCTCTGTGTGTCTCTCTGTGTGTCTCTCTGTGTGTCTCTTTGTGTGTCTCTGTGTGTGTCTCTGTGTGTGTCTCTGTGTGTGTCTCTGTGTGTGTCTCTGTGTGTGTCTCTGTGTGTGTCTCTGTGGGTGTCTCTGTGTGTGTCTCTGTGTGTGTCTCTGTGTGTGTCTCTGTGTGTGTCTCTGTGTGTGTCTCTGTGTGTGTCTCTGTGTGTGTCTCTGTGTGTGTCTCTGTGTGTGTCTCTGTGTGTGTCTCTGTGTGTGTCTCTGTGTGTGTGTCTGTGTGTGTCTGTGTGTCTCTGTGTGTCTCTGTGTGTGTCTCTGTGTGTGTGTCTCTGTGTGTCTCTGTGTGTGTCTGTGTGTGTCTGTGTGAGTCTGTGTGTGTCTGTGTGTGTGTCTGTGTGTGTCTGTGTGTGTCTGTGTGTGTCTGTGTGTGTCTGTGTGTGTCTGTGTGTGGCTGTGTGTGTCTGTGTGTGTCTGTGTGTGTCTGTGTGTGTCTGTGTGTGTCTGTGTGTGTCTGTGTGTGTCTGTGTTTGTCTGTGTGTGTCTGTGTTTGTCTGTGTGTGTCTGTGTGTGTCTGTGTGTGTCTGTGTGTGTCTGTGTGTGTCTGTGTGTGTCTGTGTGTGTCTGTGTGTGTCTGTGTGTGTCTGTGTGTGTCTGTGTGTGTCTGTGTGTGTCTGTGTGTGTCTGTGTGTGTCTGTGTTTGTCTGTGTGTGTCTGTGTGTGTCTGTGGGTGTCTGTGTGTGTCTGTGTGTGTCTGTGTGTGTCTGTGTGTGTCTGCGTGTGTCTGTGTGTGTCTGTGTGTGTCTGTGTGTGTCTGTGTGTCTGTGTGTCTGTGTGTCTGTGTGTCTGTGTGTCTGTGTGTCTGTGTGTCTGTGTGTCTGTGTGTCTGTGTGTCTGTGTGTCTGTGTGTCTGCTTTGTGTGTTTTGTGTGTGTGTGTGTTTTGTGTGTATGTGTTGCGTGTGTCTGTTCTGTGCGTGGTTTGTAAGGTTGTTTTGGTTGTGTCTGTCCTGTCTGTCCTGTCTGTCCTGTCTGTCCTGTCTGTCCTGTCTGTCCTGTCTGTCCTGTCTGTCTGTCTGTCCTGTCTGTCTGTCTGTCTGTCTGTCTGTCTGTCTGTCTGTCTGTCTGTCTGTCTGTCCTGTCTGTCTGTCTGTCTGTCTGTCTGTCTGTCTGTCTGTCTGTCTGTCTGTCTGTCTGTCTGTCTGTCTGTCTGTCTGTCTGTCTGTCTGTCTGTGTGTGTCTGAGTGTACGTCTGTGTGTGTGTGGCTGTATGGGTGTGTGTGTGTATTTGTGTCTCTGCTTTGTGTGTTTGTGTGTGTGTTTGTGTGTGTGTGTGTGTTTGTGTTTGTGCGTGTGTCTGTCTGTGCATGCGTGTGTGTGTGTGTGGCTGTGTGTGTGTGGCTGTATGGGTGTGTGGGTGTGTGTACGTGCGTGTGCGTGCGCGTGCGCGTTCGCGTGCGCGTGCGCGCTTGTGCGTGCGCGTGTGCGTGCGCGTGAGCGTGTGCGTGTGTCTGTGTGTGGGTGTGCGTGTGTCTGTGTTTGTGTTTGTGTCTGTGTGTGTATGTGTGTGTTTGTGTTTGTGTTTGTGTTTGTGTTTGTGGGTGTGTTTGTGTGCCTGTGTGTCTGCGTGCATGTGTTTGGGTGTGTGCGTGTGTGGGTTTGTGTGTGTGTATTCGTGCAGTCATGCACAACATGTTGTGTTGTGTGTGCCGTCGGCAGCGCTTGATTAGTTGAGGAAGAGCTTTGGGTGGAGCGGTGGATGTGGATTGAGTGCTTGCAGTGTTTTGGGCTTGGGCTGTTCCATATCGAAATGGTGCTGTTCATCATGATTGTTTGGCGCAAAGTACCTCATTGCTGGTGAACCAGTTTGGACAGACTCGCTGCAAGGCACAACCACTTGCAGCGTTTTGCGCATGTAAGGACGGTGGAATTGCTGGCACAATCGGAGCCGATGGTTCTGCTGGCTCTTTTCATGTTCGACCCTTTGAGAGCTTGGTGCAAACAGCCGATCCCAAAGATGGACCTGGAAATCCTGCGTGGCTCTCGGGGCAGTGGGCAAAGCTGCACCATGAATGGAATTCGATTGGCATTCTTCGTCTCCGCGGATCACCCGCACTTGAGGATGACAATGTTGTACATGTGTTGGATCTTAACAAAGGCCAAGTTGCTCGCGAGCAACTGCGGCTTCGAGTGTGTTTTGACAATGGGCCACTTCAAGGCTTGAGCCAGAAGGCCGAGCCATTCAAGGAGAGTTTCTGGCACTTGGCTCCTGGAGAAGTTGCTCGTCTCGGTGGACCTGACGTGGATGGGTTTGTGGTTGCGACGTTTGAGGGTCTGCAAACTCTCGTCTTGGATCAGCCGATCCAATTCAGCTTGGCTCCGACCCTTGAAGTCCTTTGTAGTCCTGAAGTCACTGAAGAACGCGAGAGTGATGCTCGGCAACTTCCAAACGAGGCCGAGAAGACGGAGCGTGCCACCCTGCCGCTCAACATGCCACTTCGGTTCGGACCTCCCAGTTTGTTTCCACACGCGCTGCGCGGTTGTTGGATACGAGGCGGTATGACCATCACTATTAGTGATGGGTTCGTATGTCAAGAAGGTGATGACAAGGAGGACAGGTTTCCTTTACAAGTGTTTCCAGAGATATCATACAATCGCTGGGGCGGATGGCTTCTCAATCTGGCTCGAAGCAATGCCTTGGTGCTCGAGTGGACAACGAAGATGAATGCTGGCAGCCTTTTGGAGCACAAAGTTATTCGGTGGTGGCGACCTTGGGTGTTTAAGGGAATGATAGAAGTGCTTGAGGCTGGGAGCAAAGAGGTCAATGGATTTTATGCTCCAGATTTCACTGGAAGTAGCATCAAATATGCGAGTCTTGAGCCTGCCGGTCAGAATTATATTGAACAACGCAATGATGGAAGTTGGGCAATTAGCTGCAAATATGAGCAAAGTCCCAGTGAGGGTTGCAAAGTGTATTACACACAACAGTGTGCAGAAGTTGACATTGGTCAGTGGGATTCGGAAGGTGTTTCTAGTGTTGCCAGCCTGCCAGCACCCATCATTCGCAAGTGGCTCGGAGGGGAAAGGCAGAAGCATCAAGCAGCCTTTCGTGTGAATTCTGGGCTGCAGATCGATGAAATCTCCAGCAACGTGCTGCCTCGTCACTTGTGCCGTTTGCCGAGCGAGCAAATTCGGGGTAGCGCCATGATTTCCGAAGGTATTATTGAGCAGTTCTGCGGAGATGCGATTGTGATAATTGAAACTGATGGTATGGCGGGGTTGCGAAGCTTTCTCGGTGGCGCTGCCGAAGTTGCAGCAGTGAGTGCTTCAGACTCTATGCCGATCATTTTGCCAGCAGGCCAGCTGCCTGCAAGCCTTTGCGCGTGCATCAGGCTCACAAGTGCCCAGCTGAACCAGCCTACATCAACAGCTGTGGCCCAAGAAGAGTTGCAAGACAAGATGAGGCAGGCAGTTATGGACCTGAGGGCGCAAGGAGCTGTCAGCATTGCTGTGCGAAAAATTGCAGAGACTGTGGATCTGACAAGTTTGACCCCTGAGCTTATCGTCTCGACAACCATGAAATCAATTCTTGACGGAAATGGCAAAGTCAAGAAGCCCGAGCTGCAGAGCCAAGGCCTTGAGATACACTTCTTGGTTGCAGCCGCAGATGTGCCACGCTGTCGCGGTGCTTTGGAGGCTACAGTTGCGAAATGGAGTTGCCTGGCGGCAAGTGGATGCCCATGCACTGATGTTTAGGTTGCAGTTTTGTAGCCCCTTGCCCAAGTAGGTTTGCTTTGCACATACTCAATTGCTGGCGATTGGAACGGGACATTAGCACGAGGGATCAGCAATGCCTCCAATGGAGATTCAAATGCAGGAACAAATTGAGTCTGCGAAAGCATTATGAAAGGCTGCCGATTTGTTGAATGTCAGCCATCCCAAGTAACATAGAGCCGGCGCACCCGGTGTTCGGAAGTTTCTAGGTGTATAATAGCTATAGTTATTGTCCTTTTATCTGTTCTTTGTTCTGTTTTCTCGTTATCTTTATCTTGTCTTTCTCTTTCTCTCTCCCTCTTTCTCTTTCTTCTATCTTTCTTGTCTAATTTCTTTATCTTTATCTTTCTCTTGCTCGGTCTCTTTATCTTTCTCTTTCTGATGATTTTCTCCTTTATTTATCTTTATACTTCTCTTTTATTTTCTCTTTGTATTTTTCTTTATCATTATCGTTATCTTTCTCTACCTCTTTGTTTTCTCTTTCTTTCTCTTTCTCATTATGTTTATCTGTCTCTGTTATATTCCTCTTTCTGATTATGTTCTCTTTTATTTTTCTTTTTATTTATGTGTTATGTTCTCTTTATCTGCCTCTTTCTTTTTTCATTTGTTCCTCTTTATGTTTCTATTGTTTTTTCTTTGTTCTCTATGTTTATCTTTCCTTTATCTCTCTCCCTCTCTCTCTCTTTCTTTCTATGTAACTTTCTCTTTCGCCTTAACTTTGTCTTTCTATTCCTTTGTTCCTTCTGTCTCTCTCTCTTTCTTTGTATCTATGTGTTTGTCTTTTCTTTCTCTGTCTGTCTATTGCTCGGTCTCTTTCTTTTTTATATTCATTTTCTGAAATTTATTTTTCTATGTTCTCTCTCTTTCTCTTCCTTTTATCTTTCTCATTATCTTATCTTTTCTTTCTCATTTCTTTCTCTTTATCTTGTCTGTTCGCCTCTTTCTTTTGCCTTTCTCTTTCTCGTTTTTCCCTGTTCTTTATCTTTCTCATTCCTCTTTCGTCTCTTTTTTCTTGCTCTTTTCTGTCTCATTCGCTTTCTCGTTCTCTGCTTCTTTATTTTTATCTTTTGTCTTTTCTCTTTCTTTTACATCTCGCTTTCTCTTCTCTTTTGCCTCACTGCGCTTGGCTCAGCTTTGCGTTTTTGGCATGTTTTCTCTCTCTCTCTCTTTCTTTCTCTTTCTTTCCTTTTCTTGTGTTTCTCTATTATTTCTCTCTTTTTGTTTTATCTTTTATTTCTCTTTCTTTTCTCTGTTATTTCTCTTTCTATTCTCGTTCCTCGTTATTTTTCTCTTTCTTTTTACCCGGTGTCCCGGTGCCCCGCCCTCGCGCCTTTTTCTCCTTTTTTGCTCGGTTGCCTCCTGCTGTTTGGCGAGCCGCCTGTGACGGCAAGCCCGCAGCACCACGGAGTCGTCAAGCGTACTTTGGGTCGGCCGCCAATGACGGCAAGCCGAAGGCGACTAGTCTGACGAAGGCTCACCGCAGGCACAAGAAATATCTTCATGCAGCTTCCGCACCTGCGCGCGCCTCCCCAGAAAGTACCTCGTGAGCCTACGGCCACGGCATGCGAGCGCTTTTCTCCAGTGCTCAAAGTGTATCATTCTCAGAAAGCTTTCCAAGACTCGAAGCGCGGCGCGAGGTGTCGGCCACTGGGCAAGGTACCGGCCACTGGTGAACTGAATGTGGCCGAACTGAGCCGACCTCAAAACTCACACATGAACTCACACGTTTACAAGGAAGGTCCTTCCTGCGATGACAACTGCGGCTGTGACGCCAAGCCTTGTCAGTTCCCAGTTACAAAGACTCGACAGCATCAACACCAAAGTAAACTAGAGTACGCTTTGGCCAAACGTAAATCATCCAACGGCAAAGCTATCTAAACTGTTTGGGGTCCCATGGATGGCCGGTTGTGACGCCAAGCCGCGCTTTCTCTGTCTCTTTATCCCTCTCTTTCTATTTCTCTTTCTCTTTCTCTCTCTTTCTCTTGTCTTTCTCTTTCTCCGTCTCTCTCTCTCTCTGTTAATATTTCTTTGATCTTCTCTTTCTCGTTCTCTTTCTCCTACCCTTTCTCTTTACATTAATCTTAGTATTTGTCTTTCTCATCCTCTTCATTTTCTACTTTTATGTTTATCTCTCTCGTCTCTTGATGTTTATCTCTCTTTTCTCTTTTATTATTTCCTTATATCTATCTTTCGCTTCTTTCTCTTTGTCTTTATCTTTCTTATCTTTTGTTATATTTTATCTTTCTCTTTCTGTTTCTTTCTCTCTCTCTCTCTCTCTTTCTTTCCTTTGTCTTTTCTTGCTCTTTCTTTTCTCTTTTACTTGTCTCTCTCTTTCTTTCTTTCCTTTGTCTTTTCTTGCTCTTTCTTTTCTCTTTTCTTTCTCTTTCTCGTTCTCTTTCTCTGTATTGTCCTCTTTCTCTTTCTGTTCTTTCTCTTTCTCT